GGGGGCTGCAGCAGCGGCTGCCCCGGGCATGAAGCTCCCGTGGGACATCAACGCCCCGCAGCTGCCGCAGGTACCGGGGCGGGCGGGAGGCTGCGGGGCTGTCCCAGAAACACGAGGTTTGGGGGTTTTTTGTCACCTGCCTGAAACTGCCCTGTGCGCAGCTCTACCCCTTGCTGCAGCGGGCGCAGAGATGGGGGATCGTGTCCGTGAAAACCTCCTGCACGCTCCCTTCTTCCCAGGATTTGGTCTTCAGGCAGCTGGCTGTCTCTCCGGCTTCTGCAGGAAACTTTTGTAGGATGCAGGTGTTTTCGTTTAAAGCAGGAGGGGGGAGAGAGGAAAAAAAAAAAAAAAAAAAAAAACACCTGTGAAGGGACCAGCGCAGTCCAGCTGGTGTCGGGTCTACCTTTCCTTAATCTGCTGCATTAATGCTCCAGGACCTGGAGTCTCAGCCTTCCTCGCTGCAAAACTTGACTCTTGCCTTTCAAAATCTCTTACCTTTAAAATATAATTGCAGAAGTCTTAAAGCTGTCCAATAATTTTGATAGAATAACTTGTAATAAAAATATGGAATTAATACGCAGCTTTGGCCAACTGTGTATGAACTTCTAAAAACAATCTTCTACGCTGTTGTTCGGCTGGTTTCTTTCTCCCTTGTTCCCTCTCCAAAGAAATGGCAAAAGTAGTACAGTTTGTCTGTTTTCTACTAATATATTTCAAGCCATCTACCTATCAGTTTGCTGCTGTGCCAGGTAAGTACTTTGTACTACCAGTGAACATTGTGTCGATTTTTAAGTAAGCCCTAAATGCATTTCTTATTTGACTTTTTTTTTTTTTTTAATCTTAGAGTTTATTATTGAGTTATCCAGAGATTGAGCACTTACAGAATAGCTTAACTCTGTAAATGAAGGCAGTTTTACTGACCACACTGGGGATAGTTTGTATATGTACATGCACACACACGCACATTAAATACATACAGCATCCTAGGGAGTCTACAGTCTTAGTCATTTCTCCTTCCTTCTGATAAGGAACTCCAGAAAGACAGAGATAACACCCTAAATTGAAAATGTCTTTCTCTTAACATTCTTGTTTATATGGAGTACTTGCAATGGTGTGTTTTGGGGGTTTGTTTGTTTTGTGTTTTTTTGGCAGAAGGTTTATTCAAGTTTTAATAAGTGCATTAAACTGTTACTTAACTAAAACTTTTAGTTTTCAGCCTGCTAGTGCACACTGAGGGAGTATTTAACAGCCAGCACGAGCAGGGCAGCAGCCAAAAAAGGCTTTGGTGATGAGCAACTATGTTATTACTGGTCGTGATGATGTGCAAGCAGAAAGGGTCGTGGCTATCTCTTGAGCTGCAGGGGCTCTTCTGTAGAAATTTCTGAATAACTTTATAATTTCATATACATGTTTATTCAGAGGTAACTTTATGTTCAGAAAAAAAAATGCTTTATTTACTTATACCGCCCTCCCCTTGCCGCAGGAGCCCAAGCACTTCGACAGCTTCCAGGAATGGCCCGACGGCTACGTGCGCCTCGTGTACCCGCGCGAGGAGAAGAGCGCACAGCGGCCCCTCAGCGGCTGGGCCATGCGCAACACCAAC